GGTTCGATACCCCTCTTCGGTTCGCCTGTCATCTTGGAGTCTAGGGCACCATTTGAAGCTGGATCCCGGTGGGATTGCGATCCATTCTTGGATTGCTAGCATCCTTCTATATATCTGGGGATGGCTCCCCTTCCCGGTTTGGTGGTAATGCAGAGGTAAATTCTGATGGCTCAGGTGATGCATCCACCTCAGCCCAAAAGCCAAGTGCAGAAGCCCGTGGAGTTCTGGATTTGTTGTCTGGATTGAGAGCCTTGAGATCCTGATTATTTCAGGGATGGGATCTATTCTCATCATGGGATTCGGATTCTGGGGGAGAACTGGGGCCTGTTATTTCTCTCTCCCATGTCTGGTCACTAGATAGAATCTTGGTGAGACGAAGTTTCACTTTGCCCGAGGCTGCGGTGCTATGGGGGGGGTATTCCGCAATTGGTATCTGTGTGGGGAGGGGCCCATTCAAGAGGTAAATGGAAACTGTTTCGCCAACGCTTTTGTCTAGTGATTGTATTTTGTTGGGGGTATCATCTTTGGGGGAGTTAGCGTCAATTGTGTTACCGAGTGGAGTGAGAGTGGTGGTTGCCGTGGAGGGGGTTTCCTGGCCTGCTGAATTACCATTTTTGCTGTTGATCAAGAGGACGAAGAGCGCGGTGCTAGGGAGAGATTGTCCTCAGCAGCGGGATAGCCGATAAGGGAGTGCCTCTGAATATTGCGGGAATCTTGACAGGGTGCGAAGGATCTGAGGGTTAGTATGTTATTGAAGCGGAGTTTGTTGGGTGACTTCTGGGTGACTGGAGATAAAGTAGAGTGTTGGCCTGGCTGGGGGAACTTGCTGATAGACCCTATTTCTTGGTGCTGCTGCTGGAGAGACATTGCACGGCGGGGAGTTAAGATGTGGAAATGCCAGGGTGAGACGTGGGTTGATAGATATGGATTCTGGGGGATTGGATCCACTTGACTCTCCCGAAGCTCTCGGTAGCTTTGGAGCTTCCAAAGGAGAGTTAATGGAGGTACTGTTCGTGGCGGTGGGAGATGTTGGAGAGTTAAAAGAGTGGTAGGGGGTGCCTCCCACCTAAGCTCGTATGATATTACCACTCGCTTTTCGTGATCGTTGGGCGTAAGGATCCGCTTCTCCCTCTCTGCTTACGGGGTTCGAAGATCTAACCCTTAAAGAGAGATCATCCGGTCGAGTTTGGAATCGCTTACTGTGGTTTGAGAGGCTGTTCTGGCTGTGAAGCCGTTCCTGGCTTTCTGTCAATTGGCTTGGGTGATGTGTCGTCATTGTTCTGCCCCCTTAGGGTTGCAGGTTCGGGGGTATCCTGTATATTTCTGAAGAGCTGAAAACTCGCCCTCCTTATCCCCTCAAAGCATGATGCTCTTCATCGCTGTTGGGTTCAGTCGGTTTGCGCTTTGCACTACTCTCTCTGAGCCTTTCATCATCTATGGCGCGTTCCCTTCGAGCCGATTGCTCAATATCCTCGAAATATTGAGGCAGGGTTGATTTTCCAGCACTCTCTATGTGGGCTATACGCTTCCTCCTCTAGGGGTTTTGGGCATCTCTTGGTCGTCCAGCATTCAGTGTATCTTCTACTTTGTCTTTTATTGTAGTTGGAGCAGATTTCGTGTCTTCTGGCCGCGTGGTGGGGTCCTGTGATGTAATACCGGAGGGTGAAGTGGGCCATCTGGTACTTCAGGGTGAGTGGGGGCCCGATTTGCCTTGCACCCAATCACGGGTTTTGCACTTGGACTTTTGATACCAGGGGCAAATGGAAGGAGGTTGGAAAATGCAGAGACCACAAAAAACTGTATCGTAGTATGATAGCTTGAGCTGTTAGTCTAGGCGTTTCCGGTGCCTATAATAGGTGCTGGATGATAGGGTTTTACAGTACCTGCTCAGATATTGAAGCTAGAGTGTATCCATCGAGTTCGTACTTTTTCCAACAGGACGCCACCCTTCCTGAGTACAGGAGGATTTCCCACACTCCAGTGACTGTATTAGGGACATCTTCGCTCCCGTGGAGGGTGTTTGTGGCGCCCAATACCTATCTAATAATAAAAAGTTCTTGAATGTACGAGTGTAATGACGCTGTGGTGATCTTACCAATTCTTCTTGGCCACGAATCACGACGGGCACTAGCATCCGTATACTTATCATACCTGAGTGCCTGGCGGTAAATTACCTCACGTGATTCTACACGAGCGGGTTATGTTCTAAAATGCCACCTTTCCTCCACTTCTCGCCGAGAGGTGCTGGAATCACCGCATTACGTTCACTACCTCTAAGCACCGAAGAAAAGAACTTTACTCTATGATATCGTACCAGCAAAGCGGATACCAGCGGATGTATTCAGGTTCTCCCGGCTCCGTATACCCCCACTAAAGGTATCGTATTAACTTAGCCACGTGCGATCGGGAAGGGTTTTCCTCCCTTTTTTTCTCCGGGCAGGGAAATAATACTTGAGTAGGGTCCGACCGTGTGTGGTTTAGGTTGGAGGGGAGGGAAATTGCGGCGAGGAAGTTATCACGGCTAATTATATCCCTTGATCAAGCATCGACGGCATCAGGTCGGCTTGACAGGCAGGGCTGCGTTATATCATGCATGAAAAAGCCAGATTTTTGGTCGAGAGGGGAGCTTTGTGGACCCCTGTACCGTCGGTTTGGAAGTATGATAGGAGAAATGATATGCAGTACATTGGAGCTCGCTATTTCGATTTGTGACAAACGGTTTCGTCATGAAAGATCACTCGTCTTGGCATTCTGATGCTGTTCGAGTGATTTTGAGTGAGGGCTGATATTTTGCTCGATGGTTCTGGGTTTAAAAGCATACGTTTTTGTTGGGGTGGTACTGTATGGTTAATCGCTCGGTTTTTTGTGTTCTTTTTACTGAGAAAACATTTTCTCTTTGTCAGTCCACCCCCACTCACACATTGACGTCAAGCAAAACGTGGCCATCCGAGAGGGACTTTGTCCAGAATTAGGGAGAGAAAAGAGGAAAAAGCCACGATTTCTTCCGTTACTTTATTGAATATTTATACATATAATCTAGAACATGCCCCTCTGCTCCCAGCTTCCCCTCCTTTCAAAAGGATTTACACCCGAAGCAAACAAAGATCCTTATCAAAAATAATCGGGATGGCACCCCCACCGCCTCCCTTCTACCCTGAGGCCGACGAGAAAGACCGAGAGGCCAGGACCAACGCCGTGGCAACTGCAATAACCCGCCTAGCCCGTATCCTCGGCCTGGGCAAGGACCAAGTGCAGGCTGAGTCCCTAGGCGAAGGAAGCCCCAGCATCCCCATCGGTGGAGCGGACGAGGAGTCATACGTCCTCCTGGACAAGCCCAGCGAGGATCCCCCTGTCCGCACCCCCAACGCGCGCAGGCGCTCCCGAAGAAGGTCGATTATGGAACTCGTGCCGGAAGACGTGAGAAATTCCGGGGGCAATGTCAGCAGCGAACTACGCATTGCCCTCCCACCCGCTTCGGTGACGCCTTCAGTTGGCGGAGGTGGTTTTCCCGCCACTCCTGTCAATAATTCTTTAAGCGGTACGCTACCCTATCACCTATTCTATTAATAAAAGTCAGTCGCTAACCCTCCTAACCCGACTCTAGGCTTCGAAATGTTGTTCGTGGGCCTGGCTGTCATCTTCGCATTCATGTCTATCCCCATCATATGCCACTTGTTCGTCCTCCGCCGCCGCCGCGTTAGTAGTAGCGAAGTCAGTGGGGGTCAGTGTTCAGAAGTATCTGCTGCTAGCGGTGGTAGGGGTTTTTTTTATTATACTAGTGTTCCAGAGTACCAGACTGTTCGTTCTGTGTATGGCCGCGAAGTGGGGGTTGGGATGGGGCTGCCGAGGTATGAGGATGATAACTGCGGATGGAAGACGGAAAAGTTAAGGGGTGGGAGGAGGGAGGGGAGTTTGGACTTGTGGGAGTAGGTAAGCGAATGGGGGTTTTATTTCCCTTTCTTGTTTTATTGGGAGGTGGATGAATGAACAAATGGATGGGTGGTAAGGGAGGGGGAAGGGTTCAAGAGTTTTATTTATTTATTTGTTTGTTAGATGAGTTTGCGGGATGGAACCTATAAAAGTCTGGTCTGATGATTTACTATTATTATGGGGATTTATCCAACTCACTCAACTCAACTTCGTAATTGACCAACGGCTATGCCAAACCATCCCACTTTCCACACTATGATACCCATTCCCTGCTTCCACCATCTCACCCACTCTCACTGTTAACAGAACATGAATTTCCACCGCCGCCTACTTAATAGTACAGGTCATAACCTCGTGAAGTCGTACCACATGACATGCGTACCGTACCAGAGCTCCAGATAAACAACGCGAAAAGGAAAGGAGGAGGTAAATAAAGAAAAAGGATCTCCCGCCAAGCTTTTTTATTCCCCCTAGCGCCAAATCCCGGACCGAAAAGGAGGAAAAATAAAGGAAGAAAAAACAGGAAAGATACAAGAATTTATCATTGACGGGAAGGGCCTGACCATTGTAGTTTTCGTGACAGGGGAGTGGGGGGAGGGGGAGGGGTGATGGGATAAGCTATACACGAAGGTGGAGGGGGTCAGGCGAGTGAGTATAGAGGGAGAAGAATATAGGGAAAATATGAAGGGAAGAGGGAAACAAAAAAACAGGTAAACTTTTATCTACACACTTATCGATGAGTGACATGACATGGTAGGAGAGGGGAAAGGGAAAGGGAAATTAAGTGAATTAGAAAGTGAGCATGAACATTGAGTGACTTTTTTGCGTAGAATCTAACGCAAACAATTGAAGCTGGAGAAAAATAGGGATAGTAGTGGGGGAATAGTAGAAAGGAGTAACATCAAACGCCAGGCAGATAAAACAGAGGAGCCAAAGGCAATAAAGTAGGGGTTAAAAAAACTAAGGCGGGAAATACAGAAAACGACTTTTTCAGAAGGGTGTGATAATACCCATACATGCATAGAATTGGATAGTAAAGTAGAATGGATAGGGGAGGACAAAGGCGAGGGTTATTTAGGCTTCATCCCAGCCATTAGAGGAGGGAATCCCATAGACTTGACCTTCTTCTCATGCTCATTTGACTTTGCATGAATGGTCGCCGCGGATCCGGGACCAGTAGTGATGCCAATAGATGGTGATTTGGAGGCAGGGCGGTATGGGGGCGGCTTCATCAGGCGCTTATTCATATTTTCGCTATTACCGAAGCTGGAGGCATAGGAGGAGCTGACATGATGGCGCGAGATAGGTTGACTATGATCTGAAGATTGAAGGATCGCTTGAAGTTGAGTGAGAGCAATGGGGCTCTGGGGAGGCTTGCAGATCCGTTTGGGTAGGGAAGAGGAGTCGTCTGGCGAGCATCGCTTTGTTCCGCGGGAGATGGTGTTGGCTGATGGTGTTGAGGGGTATTGGCGGTTACGCCAATTGTTGGTGGGTGCTGCGATGGTATCTTGTGTGGGGTCCGCGACCTGGTCGTGAGAGACTAGATTGGTGGAATGAGGCGAGCTAGTGTTGACGGGTTCGCCGAGGTCCATGTTTTCCGTCAAGTATCCAAGAAGTGCATTAATCTGGTCTAGTGACATTGACTCTTCGGAGCCATGGCCCACAAGGTCTCCAATATCTCCATGAACTCTCTGAGCTACACTTGGTTGAGATGATTCTGAGGTAGTGAACGCCTCCGGCTCCATTACACCGGACAGTAGTTCGTCCATATGGAGTCCACTTTCAGCAACAAGCCTCTCAAGAGCCTCATCATTCATATCAGGTTCCCCATCCGCATTTGTGGGGAGTGAGGCGTCGGCATCAGAGCCCGAGAGCCCCTCAATGGCGCTTTCGACCACCTGGTGCGAGGTCACAAGGGCTACACTTTGTGTGTTTTGGAGCCGTTCAGTGTATTGTAGGGCTTCCAGAGGTACCTCAGACAGCTCAGTTTTAACTTCAACTGTCTCAAAGAAACCGCTTTTGTCTTTACCGGTGCCTGGCCACCGAGGAATGGGGGATTCCAGCGGTTTTGGAGATTCACTGCCAGCTGTCGCACTTGTGGGGGCATCAAATCTCATTCGCAGAGCAGCCACCATCTCTCTGCCCTGCGAAGAATCATGGTAGGCGAGGGTGGTTTCTTCAGGTGCAGGCCACGCTACCCCTTTTAAGGTGGACGCATTTCCATTATCGCAATCACTGCCGGTGTCTGGGGCGATGTTTTGTATCTCCGTTGGTTGGTGGGGCCCTAGCCGTTGACCACGAAGGTCGTCACCTGGTTGGCCTTGACCACTACCGCAAGAAGCTGCTTGGAAGCCTTGGGGTTTTGTTGCATCCAGATTCTGAAGTGTGGCATTAGGGGGATGTAGAAGGGAAACAAGGTTCTTTAAGGCCACGCGTGTCGCAGCTTCTTGGCTGATCGGAAAGGGTCTTTGAAAATTGCCGAAAATTGGACTTGTGTTGGTGGCCGACATGGGGGGAGGTGGACTCGAATTGTAAGCTTGAAAAACACTAGAAGAGCCAGCGCCCATATCCAACCCGGTCTCGTCCACTGCACGTGCTCTTTCCTTGGCTTCACGCTTCGCACGGCGTCGGGCGAACTCGTGCTTCATCCATAATCTCTTCTCTTCGCTGTCCCCTGGTCCCCAAAGCTTGTTCCCTCTCTTGGTCACTCGGCATCGAAGGTCATTGTCCTTGTCTATTAACACGAGAATTAGCTACAAAGGAATAAATCGTATTTTGGGCAAACTCTGGGAAATATCAAGTATGATAATTCGGGTAAATAGGGAGAGAAGGCGGGGGAACGTATTTGGATGAAGCTAGTACTGATAGACTTGGAAGACGGTCGAGGGACACGCTTACTTCGATCTTGGTTAGACTCTCTCCATCGCTTCTTCCTAACTCTGTTCTCGCCTCGGACACGCTCTCGTTCCGCGGCTTTTGCTGGGTCTTCATAAAGATCATCTTGCCGTGCCTTCGAGCTGCTGCTGACCGAATTTCGGGCCCGCCCCATGCTATTTCGGGTTGGCGATTGGGGGGACTGAACATCCATTACCGGGCTCATCTCCAAAGCCTGAGAGTTACCTCTACACGGCGCCGGGCCCGTAGACTGACCGTCCTCTCTAGTTAGGCCATCAGGGCGGGCGGCTGGTGAGGTGTCCGAATATTCAGAAAATGGTCCCGGACCATGGATGGAGGGTGGAGGGGAGTTGGCTCTGGTTGCTGGTTGGGAAAGCTCCATTATGGCTAGTTGCATCTCGGCCAATGTTTCATCATGGGAGTTTCTACCAATACCCAAGCTCTCGGAGCCCTGGGGATGAGGATTGTTTTCAGTCCCGTCTTTATTCTGCAAGCCCTCCTGTGTAGAGGCAGCGGAACTGAGATTGCACCCTAAAAATTCTCGTAGACTATCTTCGTCCAGTCTAAGAGATTGCAAGAGTGCATGATCGCTTAAACCGATCTGCAAGGTAGCTACGGGCTGGGATGTCTGGGGGCGGTTGGAATGGTCCTGTGATAGATGCCCGCTCGGGTACGATGAATCGCAACTTCCCTGGGGGGTTTGGTAATTCGATCGGATTAAGTTCGTCAATCCGCTAACGGCGGAGGCAAATTCAGAGAATTTGTTTGACCCGGTTTGTGCAGGAACTGGATTTTGGAGATGATGTCCGTGGTGCCCTCCCAGGGCCTCTATCAGGCGCATATCTACATCCATCTGTGGGAAAGTAACGACTCTGAGGCCACCTCGCAACCTAACAGCAGGAATGGTGACAACGGAAAATCATCAGCAAAATACATTTCCATCATTGGGTTGAGATATCGCTTATCGCTAATGTCTCCCAGGCAGTTTTCGTTGGGGCTAAGCGAGTTCGCCTAAGTTCTTTTGATTCCCAAGGGAGCACTTACAATTGTATAGACTACCCTTAGTAGGGAGGAGTGAAAAGCGATGTGACTGCGAGAATGAGACTGTCGTTGAGATTTTTGGATGTGTGGGGGGATTTTCACGCACTGAGAAAATTAATGGTATTGTGTGTGGGAGGCAAGCGGGGGTGGGGGGGGTAGAATAGGATGTGCGAACGTGGATGGTGGGATGAAGTGTTCCTTGCGAGTGCGCTAGCTGCTAGTCCCGGGACAGGAGGGGGCAGTGCCAAGGTCGGCTGGTTCCGTCTGAAGGCAAGACATGTCACGTCTTTTGTCATCCAGACCCGTTCTTGGGCGGATAGGACTATGATGCTGGAAGAGCTACTATACTAGAGCTTGGCAGTTCGTTGCTTGGAGAGCTTGACTATGCGATTAGACAACTTAAGCAGGATCTGTTAAGGTGATTGATAGATACTCTAGAAGGATTTTCATCTAGCTAGGAGGATAATACATTGATCAAGTGGTTCGCTTTGCTGATAAAATGCTCAAACGGAGGAACGGAATTTAGTGCATCCGTGTAAGTAGAGAAAGAGTGTAAATTTTGATATCAGAATAAAGACATCTCAAGTATCTCGAGTAATGTGCAGAATGGAAGAAAAAGAAATATGAGAACAAACATATAAAATGTAATACTAGTATTATCATATGAGTTCCAATTGTTTCATCTAGCAATGTAATTGCAATCCCACTACTTATATAAATTTACTACTTATACAACTACAACTATTTAAAATAATGTAAGAAGTTATCAGCAAAAAAAGAACCCTGCATCCTGAGTGTCTAGAGTATCCAGTTGTGCCCTACATATCTGGAGTAAATTCTAAGTAAGGATATGCTTATTTTTACCTCCAGATTTAGCCCAATCAACTATGATCTTTGTTAATGCTCAGATGCAAGACTGCAGCTAGTCTTGATCATAACATTAGTATCCTAGCTATCCTGCATCCGAATGGAATACTTGGATACTAGCTACATACCAGGTATTAGTATATTAACTAGATATTAGAATTAAACCTAAAAATATTTGTAGAAATAGGAGATGTGTAGTTGTAATGATCCTACTCCTTGTATGTTAGTTCTTCAATAAGTAATGACCTCATCTTCCGCTATTCCAATATAGCAATCTCTGAGATCTCTTGTCTACATTATCACTTGTGATAACGTCTATTTCTATATTATCTTAGTCTTGTTTATCAATTAAGTAAGATCTCTTTCTCATATGTGGTTGCAGGAGATATTTGTGTACAAGTGAGAAAATAGATTAAACTTGTAGTATAGGAAAGAATTTAAGTAATTGTATAAGGAGTCTACTCAGGATGTAACGATCCCTCTCTGGATAGTTAGTTCTTGGCAACAGGGAATGATACTTCTCTTTCTGTCTTCTTCTTTTTTTGTCTTACGATAGCTCTAGGGTTCTGCCTACGTTACCGATAGTACAAGACCTTTGTCTTCTATCGGGAACGCCTATCGTAAGCTTTCTCTAACTCGTCTTCGTGAAGGACTTTTCTTGGCGTAACAATAATGGTGCAATAAAGATAAAGATCGTAGAGATGTTTTATATTTGTTAAAGTAATAAGTAGGAAAAGTACTTAGAAGTCAATCTAATTTTATTTTAAACTCGTACCGCCAACACTGGCATATGACGAGCCCCCACCGGCACAGGGATACCGCTAACCGGTATACCACTAATCCTAGGCTAACTAAGTCTACGGTCCCGCACCTGCCATCCCCGAGTCATGCCCGCACGGAAACTAATTACAAGACCATCAAACAACCCAGCGCCCTCCCCGGTCCAAGTCCGTAGCCCCTCTGGTATGAAGCCAACCAGCACCAAGCGTAGCCGAAGCCGAGCAAGAGACCGACCCAACCAGGTCCCTCGTCCAACAAAATCAAAACCACTACCACTCGGTCTAAATACCGTCCCGCAACACCTCCACCATAATAAAAAACCAACAACAAATCAAACCAAATATAAACTATAGGCGACACAATGGCAGAGAGGAGGTGACCAACATGTCCACCTCTCGCATCCGCATGCCAGGCCGTCGACCCTATAAACCCACTTTGCCAAGTGCCTCCGAGGAGCGTAATGGTGAGGAGGACCTGTACCCGCTGCCTGTCCCCCAAAACAAACTCATAAACAAAAGAAATACATAGAGGTGGTGACAGACCGAAATAGTCAGTGGGGCCTATCTCCCACCCGTGGTGCCTTGCCCCTGCTAGCCATGCCCATTGCCAAACCAAAGAAACCAAACAAACTTCCACAACACCCAGCACGCAGAACCCAAACAAGTCCAACCAGGCGGTCGCAACCCACTATCCGCACAGGTGGCCATCAGCCCAGCGGTCCGCTGGGGAGCTTTACAGCACTTAGCAGCTTCGCCTAGCAGCCCAAACTGGTCTGGAAACACTTAATTAGACATCGCCCAACCTGACGCATGTCCGACCGGTGCTCGCAGGTGCCTCTCCCCCTCCAATCAGCACCCCCCAAGCCCCACACACCAGATGCCACAGAGCCCATCCAGCCCCCCCAGCCCCTCAGACAGAACCACAATCCGATGGCCACAGGACAGCTTATACCCAGCCCCGCCAGGTAGCTATTGATCTTGGCCACACGAACAGAGCCCCAACCCCCAGCACCGTATAGCCGAGGGGAGCCCACCAGCCACAACTGGGAGCCACAAAGGAGGCAGCACCAACACCCGAAGGCACGGGCACCAGCCACACCATCCAACCCACCCTAACCGAAATCCAACCGAGTCGGGAAAGAGTAAGCAGAGCCAGCCAAAGCCAGCTCCACAGGTCCGGCAACAGGCACGGACCGAACAACGGGCAAAAGGCATCCCCAACTGACGCGACAAGACGGGGGAGGGCGAACGAACAGAAGCAGACAAACAGGAGGTAGGCCCCACTTGCAATGGGTGAAGCCGCCAACCACAGACCACAACCGAACCACCCAGATGTACAGACAACGCGAGTGTCTGGCAGCCAATCGTCCCACACCACCCCAGGTAGCAACAATCACCACACCAGGGGGTAAGATTTTTTCTGGGTCAAAGCCATCCCCACGGGTGCGAGGAGGAGACGCCTGACTGAATCGCCGTAAATGCCGCAAGGACAGAAACTCCAAGGGAACGGCGATAAACAACATTGTAGGATCCCGACCGTAGAAACATGTAGTAACGAGGAGGGGGGGGGCCGGCGAGGCCCCCTCCCCAGTGGGTTGATGCAGCCGGTACGACGTGTTGATACTTGGGAAGGTCATCAGTCTAACCCAAGGGTGTTTTGTATCGCGAGAACTAAGGACTCCGTTAAAACCCAACAAAAGACATGAGCTGGCCCAAAGAACGACACGGGTGATCCCCCCAAAGACAATGTTTAATCCCCCCAATCGAACGTGAATCCTGCGAGTACACGATAGACAGGAAGTCGTAGACATTTTACCCAAAGGGGCTCGTATGCGACCGTGATGAGTGCTCGAAGTGCAAGTATCGTGAGATAACCAACCCAACGAAACGAGACGCAAACAAGTTATCCGCCACACAACGCCTAACAG